ATCGGGAGGGGAATGTGAGGGGTCTTGGGCGGGGCTGTAAAACGAAATGGATATCCGTTATTTTATCGGAAAAAAAGATGTGCGTTCCTCTGCTGTGAGCCCCCAGCGCGGACCCGCCTGCCAGCAGCGAGCGGGCTGCGCTGTGTGCGGGTCTCAGCGGTTACGGCGTTCCCCCGATGAGGAAGCGCCGCGCTCGGCGCTGAAGCGGTGGGTGTGCCAGGCAGGGAGCGTGAGGTTTGTGTCAGTGGCTCTTACATAATGAGCTTTAGCACATGGCTTTTATTGCTGCCACTGCTGCCGCGTTTCATGTGGCTTGTGCTGGAGTGGCTAATTGGTGCGGGTGCGTGTCCTGGGCAGAAGCAGCGGAGTCTGCACGCTGCCGCTGGGCAGGAACCTGAGGATGGGAAAGCTGTAGTTACGGGCGGAGAGCAGGAGGGGGTCAGAAAGGGGCTCCATGATGCTACCTGACCTTAGGCAAATACATGTCTAAATGGTATTGGGCAACTCTGCTGCTAGGAGAAAAAACACCAGCTGATGTGAGCAGGGTAGGTTTGTTAAAACACTGTTTCTATTGGCTTTTTGAGTCAAGGATGTGAAAGTTGTCATTGTTTCAATCTCACGTGGCTCAGAAGGGTGGGAAGAGAAAGAAGAAAAAATAGGATGGGGAATAACCTGGGAAGGGCTGGCAAATGTGAAGGCTTGTCTTGCACTGTTGGTGCTTTTTGGGTTTAGCTGATGCTGGAGTTAGTGGTACCAGCTGTCTTCCTGTTAGCTTTGTTTTGGTTGTGTTCTCTCTGCAGTACAACAAAAGGTGTAGGTTGTGTTGGGAGGTGCCAGTGTCCCAGGAGACTGCAGGCAAGCAGTGGCATTGCCTTTTCCATCTGCTCTCCTGACATCAGCAGTAAAATTATGCTGTGTCTTTACCTGTCCTCATAGGGTCCCCAGAATTATAGTGATGGGGCCCTTGTTGGAATGGCTTGTCGACTCTTTTCTGTTGTTAAGCATGGGTGGTACACTTCAGAAATGTTTTGTGATGTGTTGCTTTTGTTTTCCAAATGGGATTTCAGTAAAGTCCTTGGGTTGTATCAGTAGACCTTTTGTTTAGAATAGTTCAAGTTTGGTTTTAGCTCCTGCTGATTTCCTAGAACATTTTTTATGTAACCGGCTGGGCTGTCTTGTTGTTATTTCTTATGCCCTGCTGAAAAAAACAATATTGCAGTAGCATGTAGCATCTTTGGCCTGAGATCTAGAGCACATAGTGCAACAGGCCACTTGAAAAGTGGTTCAGAGCTCAAAGAAAACTATCTTGTTCTAACTGGCTGCCAGCATGATCTTTTGGCAGTAATTGTACTTGCAGGGTTACTATGCAGTTAGCTTTGAATTCCATGGGGCAAAATTCTGTTGTGGAGTAAGCATCTGGTTGTATTTAGCAATTTCCAGCAGCTTGAATACTTTAAATAAAGTAGGAGACAATATGATGGCTATCCCCCATGGCAACTGAAGGACTTCAGCTGTTCAGGTGCCCTAGGTTTTAGCACTGTTGGCAGCAGAGCTCTTCACATGATTTATATAAATCATTGACTGGCCACATCTTTCAGCTTTTCTGGGGGGTTTGAGTACTGATCCTCTCTTAGTTTTGATATTTAGAGTGTATTATTAATAGAGTTGTAGTCTATCAAACTTTTTAAAAGTTGTGCATTAAATGTCACTTAAGTTCCTATTTTCTAGCTCATTGGATCTGTTTGTTCTGTGTTATGTTAGATGAGGCTTTTCACTGAACAGTTGATGATTACATTTCTTGTAGTATTGGAATTTCTTCTGAGCCTTGCCACAATGAGGAAAAACATGCCTGGAAAATAAAAATTAGCTCTTCTGATGAATTAACTGGGGAGGGGCATATCCTAAGCTAAAGTCACCAAGGTTATAAGTGATGGAATTGTATTGCTTTTAAGATCTATCTATATTGGTCTTTTCTGGAAAAAAGTTCTGAGTATTTCTGTGAGCTCTCCAGTTGCTTTTGATAGAAAGCTGCTTGTGAACCTGCTAAACTTTATACCTTTCCCATTCTTGTATTCCAGACCGTAAGGACATTCTGTGTTACTGAAGGAGGGGTCTCCTATTTGTGGAGTGACTTACGATGTCAAGAACTGTATCATCCTGGATCTTAAGCTCAGCAAGAAACAGCATTGTTTCACAAGGGAAAGGACGTTTGTACTCCTTCTGTATCCCAAATAGAAGCAAGATAGGATGGAAGCTTGTCTTCTCGAAAACACGTCTCTACCCTGCTGGGAGCTGCGGCTTAGACAATACTTTCTCCTCAAAGGCATTCCGACACACTTCTACGGAAGAAGAACATTTCTCTTTCCAGTTGTCTCCATCACAAATCAATGATATACTCAGAGCAGGTGAATTTTCCCATAAAATACTGGATTTGAATGGTAAAAATGCAAATTCAGTGTTGAAGTTCGAAAGTAACCAATTGGCATCCAACAGCCCTATTGAAGACCGCAGAAGTGCAGTCACTTGCTTGCAGACCAGAGGGATGATGTTTGGAGTCTTCGATGGTCATGCAGGTTCTGCGTGTGCTCAGGCAGTAAGTGAGAGACTACTTCATTATATAGCAGTGTCTCTCATGTCTCGGCAAACCTTGGAAGAGATCGAGCTTGCTGTGGAGTGCGTGAAACCAGTTCCGCCTATTCTGCAGTGGCACAGGCATACAAATGATATAGAGTATAGAGAAATAACTTCACAATATTTTGAAAACCTCCGGGTTTACTGGCAACATTTACTGGACCTAGACACAGAGCTGGGATTTAGTTTAGAAGAAGCCATGATATGTGCATTCAAAAGGTTAGACTCGGACATATCACTGGAAGTTCAGGCTCCCCAGGAAAATGAATTGATGAGAAATATTGCCCTTCAGGTGGCCTTTTCTGGTGCAACAGCCTGTGTAGCTCACATTGATGGCGTTCACTTACATGTTGCAAATACTGGTGATTGCAGAGCAATTTTAGGGGTTCATGAAGAAGATGGAACGTGGTCTGCTCTCCCTCTAACCCGAGACCACAATGCCTATGATGAATTTGAGATTAGAAGACTGAAGAGAGAACATCCTAGATCTGAGGAGAAAACCCTAGTTGTGAATGACAGGTTACTGGGGATTCTCATGCCCTCCAGAGCTTTTGGAGATGTGCAATTAAAATGGAGTAAAGAATTGCAACACAGTGTTCTTGAGAATAGCTGTGATGTTGAGGCTTTAAATATTTATCAGTACGTTCCTCCAAACTACCATACACCCCCTTATTTAACTGCAGAGCCTGAAGTCACATACCACAAATTAAGAAGCAAGGATAAGTTTCTAGTTATTGCTTCGGATGGACTATGGGAGATGCTAAGTAATGAAAAGGTTGTAAAATTTGTTGCTGGACACCTTACAGAGCTTAATGTGCAGAAACCACAGCTGGCTTTTGAGAAACCAGTTAATTTGGGTTACATGCGCAGCTTGTTACTTCAGAGGAAAAACAGAGGTATTACCTCACTTGACCAGAACGTAGCTACTCATTTAATAAGGCATGCAATTGGCAGTAATGAGTATGGGGAGGTGGACCAAGAGAAACTTGCTGCAATGCTGACGCTGCCTGAAGACCTTGCGAGAATGTACAGAGATGATATCACAGTTACAGTGGTGTATTTTAATTCAGAAACAATTGAAAATTACTACAAAAACAATGAATAGAGACTTGCACTGCTGCTGTTCTATACCGCTAGCCAGCTTTGATACTGAAACCATTACTGTTTCTCTGATATTCAAGCTGTTAACAGTGTTATGGTCTGGAAGCTCCTAAATCTTTTTGTTACTGGTCTTGAAAATAACTTTCTAAAAGCGAGTTTGATGAAGGTTACCTGGGTTTCCAAGTCTACACAAACTAAAAGAAAATATTTTGATAAAGGTTCACTGAAATGTAGTTGAACTAAAGATTGCTGACCCAGTTCCGATTCCATGGAAACCACTGGTGAAACTTTCAAAATGAGCAAACGAGACAAATTTCACTGAGACTGGTACAATGTAATAGATGGATAATACCTGTAGCTGCATGGAGTGTAAGAAAGGCTCTGCTCTTGCGGAAAATTGGATCCTATTGAAGCACTGTAACTGCATTAAATAAACAAACTACCAAAGCTTTATTTGACGTAACAGTGTCAGATACTTTAACAAATTGCCTTTTATATCTGAAGACAGCACTAAGGAAGGCTGGTCAAAGAGCCCTGGGATTGTCAGATATTTTTTCCTTAATTCTTTTTTTTAAGCTGGGAAACAATCATATTCCACATTATTTTGAAGTGAATGCTTATTCTCTTAATTCTGTGGACTTGCGTAACAATTTACAGCTCACACATGTGAGGGACTTAGTGATTCCCTGTGTAGGAGTTAACAGTACTAGACTTAAGCATTTAAGCCTCTAACTTGCTTAAAGAATATACCCTTTTATTAAGTATTGATCTATAAGTGCTGTGCATAAAATTCTCAAACTGTAATTTAAATTAACTTGGACAGGTCCAGAACTTCAAAAATTCATCTAAATGTAAATACAGAAAAAGAGAGAGCACCTTTCTCTTCAGGTTTAACTTAGAAGAGAAATAACAGTGCTGATATTTCACCAAAATACATTTAATCTTTATTTTATTCTTGCCTTTAGATGTCAGCTTTTTCTTATAGGTGCAGAGTTATTTTCTCTAATTGTCCTGGGTTAAGCTTAACCCAGGACAGTAATGAATGTATATGTTTTAATCTCTCAACATATACTTTTGTGTATTTTACGATGGTTTTCTTTTATACTGTGCTTTCTAGAGTGCCAATCCAAGCTTGCAAATTAGCTGTATTTTCTAAGTTTCACATCTGCTGTTCTCTAGTGATTCTTTTCCTTGTTTACACACAGCAGTAGCTGTTGCCTGCAAGAATGTGTGTACTGGGAATATAGGACTGTTTACTGCTGCTGCTACCAGGTAAGAACTCCTGTGGGTGCAGCAGAGCTGATAAAAGTATTGCTTTTTTTCCTAAATTCCACATAAAGTAAAAGTATTATCTTTTTACACACAGCAGTAGCTGTTGCCTGCAAGAATGTGTGTACTGGGAATATAGGACTGTTTACTGCTGCTGCTACCAGGTAAGAACTCCGGTGGGTGCAGCAGAGCTGATAAAAGTATTGCTTTTTTTTCCTAAATTCCACATAAAATAAAAGCATTATCTTTCTGCAGTTTAGTAGATTAAAAAGTACTTAAATTTTTCTCAAGATCTTAAGTAGATGCAATCTTGGGGCATAAACTAGTAGCAGTCGTGGATTTGGGGCTTTTTGTATAGTTTTCCTACAGGTAAAAATTCTTGGTACTTTTTCAGGCATTTAAATAATCTGTGTTTTTTTTGTGAAGATAATCTAGAAAACTTTTGATGTAGAGTGAACCTGCAAGTGCAAAAGTAAGGTAGCAAACCAGCTAGTATATAGTCATAAAATGAGCTGTTCTGTTCTTTTCACCACCCAGTGGTGAAATCTAGGTTGTCTTTTAAAAGAGTCATTGTGGCATTATGTCATATCATAGAATGGTTTGGGTCGGGAGGGACCTTAAAGATCATCTAGTTCCAACCTCCCTGCCATGGGCAGGGACACCTCCCACTAGCCCAGGTTGCTCAAAGCCTCATCCAGCCTGGCCTTGAACACCTCCAGGGATGGGGCATCCACAGCTTCTCTGGGCAACCTGTGCCAGTGCCTCACCACCCTCACAGTTAAGGATTTCTTCCTAATATTGAGTTTAAATCTACCTTCTTTCAGTTGAAAGCTGTTACTTCTTGTCCTATCACTACATGCCCTTGTAAGCACTTTGTCTCCATCTTTCCTGTAGCCCCCTTCAAGTCCTGGAAGGCTGCTATAAAAGGTCTCCCCGGAGCCTTCTCTTCTCCAGGCTGAACAACCCCAACTGTCTCAGCCTGTCCTCACAGGGGAGGTGCTCCAGTCTCTGACCATCTTTGTGGCCTCCTCTGGACTCGCTCTAACAGGTCCGTGTCCTTCCTGTGCTGAGGACTCCAGAGCTGGATGCAGCTCTGCAGGTGGGGTCTCGTGAGAGTGGAGTAGAGGGGGAGAATCACCTCCCTCGACCTGCTGGTCACGCTTCTTTTGGTGCAGCTCAGAATATGATTGGCTTTCTGGGCTGCAAGCACACGTTGCTGGGTCATTTTGAGCTTTTCATCAACCAGCACCCCAAAGTCCTTCTCTTCGGGGCTGCTCATAATCCATTCTTGGCTCAGCCTGTATTTACGTGTTACTCCTGGATGTGTTACTGTATGTAGATTGTTGCAACTGCAAATTGATAATGACGGTTTTGGGGAACATGTTGGAAAGTAAGACAGCTACTATTTCTAATTTCATGTTGGTTTTGCTCAGTTTACATGCAGCACTATAATTATCCTACAGTGGAAAAGGATAACATTAGACCAGTTAGAGGTTTGAGGGTTTTTAAAATGCAAATAATGGTTTTAACTGTGTGCTACCTGGAATTTATTGCAGGCCAATGAAAGCAATCTGTTCCTACTTCTGGTAAGGAAAATAATGATACTACCCATTTGAACTGGATCATGGACGGTTTCATCTCTAACTGCAAACACAGCTAGTAGGCATTAATAAAAGTAGTATTTTGTGACTTGGAGAATCAACAGTGTTTCAATGAGTCAGCTAAATGCATTAATCTGCTCCTGCAAGCACAATGATGTGAAGATTTGATAGCACATTTAGATGCAAGTCCTGTGGTATTGAAAATATGTTGGAACAAACATTTCTGCAGGCAGCCTGTTTGGTTTATATTAGATGGTTCTGCTTGGTGTTTTGTGTGTGTTTTTTTTTTTTTATTTCCATAGCAATCCAGAGAAGCAATAGTTAAAAACATAGTCACACAAATTCTGTGTCTCAAAACGTGGTATTATGGCACGTAGCAAAAAAAAAAAATTTCTTCCCTAAAACTTAAACCTTGGGTTGACATAAACTTTGTCACTTTTTCTCCAGAACTCTTATTCTGTGTTCCTAAATTATGATGCTTATTTATATTTAAGTATTCAGGCCTCTCTAATATTCATAATGTATTTGGAGTTTTGGGGTTTTTTTTTAACTTCTTTGTAAATAGTGAGGGGGAATCACTGTTTTTGTAAGTAGAAATATTAATTTCACACTTAACTAATCTTTATTAAATGGATGAAAGACTTAATGTTTTGGTTGCTGTATTGGAATCTGGCTTGCTTTCTGCTGAATGCTCACATGAAAACATGCCAGATTTCAGGTCAGAGCATAAATGTTCAAGCTGGGGTAAGTAGTCTGAGTAGGTGTTGTGAGTTTGCTTAAGTGTTTGTAGTTCTGTGATTTTCTCACAATGGAAATAACTGTTAATACATAAAAGTAAGGAAATCTTGATACTATTGAGTTTCCACTAAATTAACCAGGCAGCAGAGGGAGCACGAGTTCAATGGCCAAAATACCCAGATCGTGCTTTAGTTAATTTGACAATGTACAATAAAAATATTTTAACTTTGATAGGTTCACATGCACATGTGTTCATCAGCAGTTAAGACTTCATTGCACCATTCAGATCAAGTGTGTGTTGTAATTGTCTTAACAATAATGCAAAACCCGTTGCAAATATAAGATCTGCAGAAACATTGATTAAATCTTTGAATCACAACAGAGCAGTAGCAAGGCAAATGTTCAAGGACTTAGTCTTTGAGGCTTAAGTTGTTATTTCCTTTAATTCCAAGTGTTTGTCTTTTAGGGAAAGGGGGGGAGGGGTAAAGAGAAAAGAAAATAATTTGGGACAGATTTTTTTCCTTTCTTTTTTCTTCTTTTTTCTTCCAAAATGATATATTTGTCTAAAATTTGAGGAACAATTTTTTGGTATTGTTTTGGTCAAACAGAGGTTCTCTGTTCAGAGCTATAATTGTACTGAGAACTGAAAGTAGAACGGTGCACACCTTGTGGTTTTGTCAGATTCAGCTGGTCACACTGGTGGTGTGTGCTCTTTACTACCACAGGCTTAATACTTCAGCAGAAAGTAGAAAAGTAAGAATCCAAGGCATGTGTTTCTCTGGGGATTACAAAGCATGGTGTGACATTAAAAAAAAAAAGAAAAAAAGTTTTTCCTTCTTTATGTCTGTTGCAGAGAGGTTAACCTTCAAATAAGTATTATTGTCCAATGAAACACTTGAAATTTTACTAAATCTGTGTGTTTATCCTCAAATACTGGTTCAAACTGCTACTGTTGGATCTCTCCAGTTGTCAGTCAGGTAAGAGTTAGTCTTATGTCTTATTGCATTAGTTGATTGCTGCTCAGGGACTTTACGGCCCATTGGCCTCCACTACAGCACCATGCTAACAAGTGATGGGGCATCTACTTGAGTTTGGCTTCTTTGAACCCATGCTGTTGGAGACTCTCAGAATACTTTGACTGAATGCTTTGACTCTTTAACAACTTGAAGGAAAATGATGAGTAGGAGCCAAGCAATTGTGGAAAGGGAAGCATAATTATGGGCTGCATTTGGGTTAAGGAAACTTTCGGGGGTTCTGAGCTCTGATGGCAGAGCATTTGACATGCTCTTTTCCATTTTTGTTCAGTGTGGTTTGCTTCATGCTCTCTGAAATGGTCTTTGTTGCTTTGAGGAGGCTCTTATATCACTATTTCATGCTCCAGAGTTCTGTGGTGTTTTAACAAAAAGGATTCCCATTTCGGTGTGTTATTGAATAAATCTTTGATTTTGTACTTGCAGAACTGAGGTTGGCCAGAAGAT